ATGATGTCAGAGTAAGGAGACAAGGAAGGGGAAAGTGTCAGGTTTCTAAAGGAAGAAGTCTTGAGTCTTTCAGCCTGTTTGCAACTCCAACCACAGATGTATGGCTGTTGGTTGCTTTCTCTTTTTTTTTAAATGAAGAGGAAAAACCATTTTGCACAAATTCAGTGGCACTCATTTCTTCCTTTAGTTATTTATGTGATGGTTACCAGCTTGAAGCTTCACAAGAGGATTAGACAAATTCATGGAGGGTTAAGTCTGTCAGAGGCTACTAGCCACAATTGCTATGTTCTGTCTCTACTGCCAGAAGCAGCATGGGGAAAACAAGATGGGGAAAGTGCTATTGCACACAAAACCTGCTTGCAAGTCACTGTGAGCTGACTAGGTGGGCCTTTGGTCTGATCTTGCAAGGCTTTTCTGATGTTCTTATAATGTATTATGTGTGCCCTACTATTACATGAGGCTTCCAGTGGTGTCTCATCCAGACTACAAATCAGGTTTACTCATTTGCTTCAGAATGTTGCAGTACCTATTGTTCCCAAACCACCCACTGGACTCACTCTCATATTTGCTTCCCGTACGCCAGAGCTGAGCCCTGACACTAAAATAAGAGCAAAGCACAGGTCCTGGTCAAACACAGGCACTTTGCATGCAGAAGCAGGCCAGGACAAAAAAAAATAATGTTCATATAAAACAGCAATCAAAAACAGCTTAGCCGAAAGCCAACTTTCAGAACCCCAAAACTGTGGGACAAGCAGCCACTCTCTTCATCTCCTTTTCTGAATAGGGATTTCCTTAACTGTTGTGCCAATCTCCAGGGTGGGCCTCACAACACACAACAGGGGCAGATGATGCGCTGCTGAAAAGTAGTTGTGGGCATGTGGTACTCTGGGCAACTGTGGACGAGGAAGTCTAGTTTTCATTCAGAAGGATCAGGAACTCCAACACGGGTGCCTGATTTCAACTTGCAAGGGCTGGAAGAAGGTGCCCAATCCAATTACCTTAGGGAATTCGAGTTCACAGAGAGGTATGTTGGTGGTTTCTGGTCCAGGGCAGGGACAAACTGTTGCAAGGTTTTGTGATCCTGGAGATTCTAGACATTACGACTCAAGAAAAGTGCACGAGAGAGAAGTGTACAGCCAGCAGAATGGCACCAAGAACAGCACCTGTCCTCTGGCCAAGCTGTGGCCAGCCCAGTGGAAAAATGTGCCAGCTAGGGGAGGCATTGTTTGGAAGCAGCGGTGTGCTTAATTTCACTTGTGCCAAGGGAGCAACACCGCCTCTCCCTAAATACAAGGTGTTTGAGGCAACAAGCCCTGCTCTGTAAGCTAGGCCAAAGGAGGGAGGTTTTCCTTGGAGCTAGATAATAATGTTCTGAAAAGTCTGACTGAAGGGCTCATCAAGGCCGGTGCCAAGCCCGTTCAGCTGCTTTGTAATGGATACATTCTGCTAGCCGCACCTAAGGATCTCCTGATGTGAATCAGTGGAGCCACCAGTGAATCATATTTAAACAAAGCAATCAGCTCCAGACTGGACACTAATAGGATACCAAGCCAGGGCTACAGCATCCCTTATCCCAAGGCTTTACAGTACACCCCTCAGTCTGAGCTACCATTTGCTGCTCCCTCGGGGCTGGGCTCCTTTCCCATCATTCATAGCTACACTAATGCCCTTCAACTCTGACCCAAAAGGTGGCTGTATATCCAGCCCTGGATTTCATCCCATCGTTGCCTCCCACTTAAAACCTTCCAGGTGTCACTGCCGCCCTCAAAAGAAGCCCAGGGCTCCTAGTCTTTCCATGACAGGAATCTGCAACGCCCCTTTCTGTCCCAAAGCCATGCACTCCTTGCCCCGCACATGCCTTGAGCTGGTGCCCCTCAGTCCATCCACAGCCCATCTGCCATCTTATTTCCAGCGTGAAAAAGAGCATGGAGGTTGGTGAGAGACGACAACAGGCTAGCTGAGAGTGGGAGGCTTGCATGACTTTTCTGCGAGAATGTGTGTGATATTTGGGGTGTCCTGGGCTCTGAGCTCCAAACAGCTCAGCTTCTGCAGTGTGTGCAAAGGACAGAGGCTAATTTGCACTGTGGCTTGGATGAAGTTATCTACCGTATTTTTTGCTCTATAAGACGCACTTTTCCCCTCCTAAATAGTAAGGGGAAATGTGTGTGCGTCTTATGGAGCGAATGCAGGCTGCGCAGCTATCCCAGAAGCCAGAACAGTAAGAGGGATTGCTGCTTTCACTGCGCAGTGATCCCTCTTGATGTTCTGGCTTCTGAGATTCAGAATATTTTTTTTCTTGTTTTCCTCCTCCCAAACCTAGGTGCATCTTATGGTCTGGTGCGTCTTGTAGAGCGAAAAATATGGTGATTGGCCACTGAGAGCTGCTGGATACTGCAGCTGCCCCTCATTCTTCGAGGCAATGCCCCTTTCTCCAGATCATCCCAAACGTCCCCTCTACCGCCAAAAATAACCTCCAACCACATTTCAAGACATCATTGCTCCACAGTGTTTTTTTATTTTGAAACTCTCGTTTGGCAGCTTTATTTGGGCTTTGGGGAAGGGACCCCACTGCTGCGGCCAGATCATTAAGTGAATGGGGCGGAAACCGGGGAATGGGATAAGCCCAGGTTGTCCCCACTTACCCCATGTTACTGAGGCAACTCTATCAGCCCTGGAAGCATCAATTCAAACAGCGCATGACACACACATTCTCCGTAGAGCTGCCCTGGCTTACAAAGGCAGCTGCCTTGATTGCCATTGTTGCAGCAAACAGCACCCATTCATCCCTGCCCTGTTGCTGCACGGCAATGCACAGCTCCAAACCCATCCGTCTTAGCCTCTCATTTCTCTACCTGACAAGCCTTCTGTGACTCAGCCAGCCCACATCTCCTGTTTTCTGTGGGTCTCCTTGATTCGATGTGCAGCTTCCTCATTGTTCTGAATTGTAAAGCAATTTTAGAGTTTAAAAGCAGTGGTGGGACATCTCTCTCCCCACCCACCTACCCGCCTCTGCCCCAGCCTAGCCATGCTAGAATCTCAGACATCTGTGGCTCACACACTCAATATGTTTGTGAGTTTGGGGTGGGGGGGTGGGGAGGTTTGCTGGAATTTATTCTAGAACCTAGAATAATTGAACCAGCAACAAACTCCTACCCCTCCTGCCCCAAGAGAGTTGGGCTCACACTCTCATAGTTTGAGCTGACAACTTCTTGTTCACTTTCCTTTTAACAACACTTGGCAAAGGTACTGCCAAATGAAAATGGGTAATAGATAATGTAGATCTTTCACTGGTCCCAGCTTTTGAGTTACAGAACAACCATTTTAGCAGAAGACGACATTAAAAACTGAGCATTTATGCCCTCCGTGGATAAATGCAATTGATTATTTCAGACAAAGCAGCAGTTCATCCATAAGGTATACTTCACAGTACACAACATATACTTATATGCACACACAAATATATAGGATACATACGCACAATACTTTATACTAGAATCAATGGAAAGTGAATACCTGGTTTTTGTTTTGTTTTTACAGTCTACACACAATCAAGATCTATTGCATATTTTTTTACCCCCTGAAAAGCATTTGAGAAACTGCTTTCATTCTGAAAATAATAGCTCGTTGCACATTGATTCTGCATTTCCCTGCATTGTGTCCATTTGAAAACAGATGAAAATGGATGTAGCCAGTGATGCTGTTTGGTGAGTGTATACTAAAGATTGCAATCACCCCTTCCTTCTTCATTCACCTGGGGCACATGCAGGGAGGGAAAAGAATAGCTAACCTACGAGGAGGATTGGAAGAAATTTAAGAACTACCTACAAAAACATTGTGATTTGACTGAATGCTGAATAAGATGCTTGACTAAATAACTGAGCACCACTTAACTTAGAAGTTTTTAAGAAAATAAGAAAAACTGTGAAAGTTTAACTCTTTATGAGAACTATAAGATCATGAAATATCGAAGAGATATAAGAATTTAAATAAGATGATAAATTGCTGACAAAATGTTATAATGATGAAGGTGGGAGCGGGAGATGTGAGGAAGTCCAAAGAAAATGTGAAATTATGTTAAGACGAATGTTATATTGTTTATTACATTTATTCCTATTGTAAAATCCAATAAATTGCTTTAAAAAAAAAAAAAAGAATAGCTAACCTAATCAAGGGGAGGGTTTTCAAAATTGTATCAAGTAACCACACCTACCTTTGTGGATGGCAGGATCTGGAATCAATCTAGTTTGGAAGCAACATGTTGGAGATGGCTGCATAATGGATTCCAGATCGAGAAAAAACTACATTTTTGTGCTGCAAATGCATTTGTGCGCATGCAGCTAGATATATATCTATGGATATAGATACACAAATCCAGCGCAACTCATATGTCTCTCACCTAATCAAACACCAGGAGGGAGGAAGGGATAGTTGGCTGATATATTTAACTTGAAAAAGAAATGGCGCCCCTATGTACTTCCTTTGCCAAAGTTGGAGGCTCAGAATGCAATGAAGACCGAAACACACATGAAAAATGGCAGGTTCCCGAGAGCCTTCCACAGTCAAAAGCGCTATATAAATGCTAAGAACTATAATTGTCCAGCTAGATTTCAATAGCCACTTCAGCCGGGCTGAAATGCAACAGGCACTGAAACTACAGATTGATCCTGAGAGACGTGACAGAACTATATGATGTTATAGCAGACATCATATAGACAACTATATGATGTTAAGCAGACAGGTCCTGACTTGGGCATGAAACGGCGATATGGGGGAAGCCTACAAGTGAGGCAGAAGCAAAAGGGGTTTTGGGGGTGTGAGAGAGAGGGGTGGCTGGGTGCCCAGTGGACTGAGGTGTCTGAACAGAACAAATCTGAGGAGTAGAAACAAGGGCAATATGGCCAGAAGTGAGGAAGCCCAACTCTTTTTCCCCATAGAATCATAGTTGGAAGGGACCCCGTGGATCATCTAGTCCAACCCCCTTCAACGCAGGAATATGCAGCTGTCCCATTCAGGGATTGACCCTGCAACCTTGCCATAATCAGCACCACGCTCTAACCAACTAAGCTATCTTGTGTGTGTTTCATGATGAACTCAAGTGAGTGAACTCAAGCAGCTGAGCGGGGGTTTTCCCACTCCTGTTTCAGGTTCAGGAACCATTACAGAAAAGGGAACAGGCTATTCTGGTGGTTGGAAAGTTGTAGCTGAGCCCAGGACACAGGTCACTGGGCTCAAGCTTGACTTCCCCAGAAGAGCTGCGCTGGGGAGGGCCTCACCCAGCCCCAGCCTCTGGGGGCTGTGCGGGAAATACTCAGACAAACATCTGTGCAGCTCCCAGTCAGGTTTCAGTGGCTGGAAAAGGAGGCCAAGTTCTGTGGGAGAGGCCTGGCCCAAACCAGCTCTGCTGGGAAAAGGTTCAGCAGCGAGGACTGCCTTGAAAATAACCTCCAGCTCTGGGCTCCATTGCAAACGGAACAGCCGCCATCTTAGCGCACACCAAGAGCTGAAGCCAGAGACATTCCAACTTTAAAAAAAGAAGTCACACAGAACTTCGAGAAGCAGATTCATGCCTAGTAGATCCAAACTCAGAGGAAGAACGCTAATACCAACCTCTCCTCATAGCTACACAAATGTAGTACTTCCCAAACAGGAGGTGCTGAGCTTCAATTCTGACCAGAAGTTATACGCTCTGAGTGATGCAAGTATTTTCCATTAACCCCAGACACGTGTTAATTTCCTTTATCTCTCACAGGCACTCTGCACATGTTCAGTTACACAATTATCTCACAATTTAATTCTAAGCCCCGACGTGGAAATTTGATTACGGGGCCAAGCCTTTATATAACCCAGCTCAAATTAAGTGCTTCACAAATTATTCAGTGCACATTTCCTGTCTCGAAGAAGTGATGCAAACACACATATTTCCTGCTGTGTAATCTTCACAGCAAACAAACGCTACCTACCCAAAAGCATGCCCATGAATGCAAAGCCAGCACAGTCAACCATAATCACACCAGCGTGCAGAATGTAAGGAGGAGAGGGAGGCTGCATTCAAATGCATGGTGCGAAACAACAGAAATGTAATGCTGAGCACTGAAGAAGCGCCAACCCAGAAACGCAGAGAGGGCATGTCATGCACAACCCGATAAGTATCATAAATTCGCCTTTGGTGCATTCAAGGGCTCTCAACGCACTGCCCTCAATATGTGTAAGGCACTGTGAAGCAGGAAGACATAACCTTGCTGACCTTTTTAAAAAATAAAATAAAAAACCCAACAATGTGGCTGATGGGAAACTGACCCACCTCCACTGGCTACCAAACCACCAACTGCATACCCTCCCAACATTTCTCCAATGAAAACAGGGAAGTCCTATTTAATAATAATAATTCTGCTATTTATACCCTGCCCATCTGACTGGGTTGCCCCAGCCACTCTGGGCAGCTTCCGACAGATATGAAAACATAATCAAACATTAAACATTAAAAAAAACTTCCCTATACAGGGCTGCCTTCCGATGGCTTGGGGGGGGGGTCGAATAGCTCCATACCCTCCAACATTTCTCCGATGAAAATGGGGACATCCTAAGGAGAAGCGGGACATTCCGGGATCAAATTAGAAACTGGGATGGCTTCTGTGAATCTGGGACTACCCCTGGAAACTAGGGACCCTTGGAGGGTCTGCAACTGCAGTAAGTGTGGAGTTTCTCAGCTTTTTGCACGTAGAAATTCATTTCCTCTTCATCTCTTTGGAGAAGCAAAGGGAGGGAAGGCCTGGAACAAGGGAGGGGACCTTGCCCAAGGGAACTTTAATGAGTCAGTAGCAGAGGCAAGGCAGCCCGGGGACTGCTAGGCCCATTCCTATGCTCAGCCCAATCAGGAGCTTGTTTCTCTTGAAACAAGCTCCTTGGCCGCGAAGGCAAACCACAACATGCATGAGTCAGTGACTAGCTCTTAAGGGTTTGTGCCAGTGAGGGCGAGGGAGGCAAAAACTTGGCTCCAGGGCTTCCGTTGCTCAATTCTTTGGATTTGCGAAAATTCTGGGAATGGGAAAGGCCTGGGTTTGCGCCCATCCTTAAATCAAGAAGGATCTGGGGGAAAGTGTGAAAACAACAACTACCAGCACCACCACACAAACCCAGAAGCCAGCACGATATCCAATGTGTTGCACAGCCCAAATACCATTTTCCACACAGTAATATCACGTGGTCTGTAGGTACGGTTGTTGGCTTTTGTTTTCAAAAATTATGGCCCTTCGGGTTGAGTGGCTCTGAGCTTATTTAAAATATATTTCATTTTTCTTTGTGAACGCAACCAGCTTCAGGGGTGGGTGGGTGGGTGGGTGTACGCTTTAAAACAACCTGAAGGAGTCAGCGTCGCTGAGCATATGTGAAATCTGTATAGACATTATGCGAAGCTATAAGAAACACACACACATGGAAAAAAATATTGCCTGAATCATAGAAAAAGTCTAAGCCATTATGTATACATCTGATAAGAACATGGGAGTTCAGCTAGTAAAATTTGGTCTGGTTGTTAGTCTTACCCATAAGGCAGTTTTCTTGAGATGAGGAGAACTCACTGAGGAAATCTGAGAACTTAAACTTCCACTTTTTTTTTAAAGAATATTTTAACTCTTACATATAACTGTCTAAAAATGAGAACTGCTGCATGTGCCCCAAATGATTAAAATTCAAATAAAAAAGGGAAATAAGTAATAGTCACCTTTTAAAAATCTGACAGTTTTTAGTCACTTGTAATTTTAAGGACCTGATGTCTTGACTTTTAACAGTTTGGGGTGGTTACTCCAGTTTGCTGGGGCCAGAGTATTAAATTACAATAACACACAACCTAACTGCTCCTTTGGTAAGTCCTTACAGTAGGGAGTTCGCAAACTTTTAGGGCCTAGGAGCACTTTTGGAAATCAAGAAACGGTTGCAGGGACCATGAAATACCCATTTCACAGAAGAAGATCTGAAAATGCTCATAACTCCCTTGAAATAGGCAGGACACTTAATACATACATACCCCCAAACAAATAGAATACAGACAAAAAAAACCCAAAAAGCAAAAAGCTCACCTAAATAACAACAAAACTCTGTTTAAAATAATAATAATAATGAAACATTGGAAGAGTCATAGCAGGTGCCAAAGAAAGACAGTTAAACTGCCCACATGATCAAGTAAGTGGTAATGCTGAGACATCTGAACCCTCATCTCTGAATTCTACATATGGAGACAAAAAAAATCCTAAAATGCCCTAGAGGTAGATTGCTAACGGCTTTGTGGAAAGTTGCCAGGTTCAAACTAGTAACACACTTGTCAGTGCTAGTGACAATAGGGCACAAGGTGGATCACTTCCAGGCTACCAGCTGGAACTAATAGGCAGATCCCAAAGAAAGATAAAAATAGATTGGTTGACTTTCTACTGTACAGCAAAGTATTTGGGAGCTCCTGTCCCAAACAGCCATGTACAGCAGTGAGAGCATAGAGCCACAGCTCTGGCCTTCTTGTTAGCAACCCATCTTAAAAAAAAAAAATTACATTATGCATAGCTCGTTGCCAGGATGCCCAGGCTCTCTGTGACAGATGCACAGCCAGCTGCGCTGTGCCCGGTTCTAGATAACGCAGCCAGCCCTCTGCGTTCAAGGGCATGTGAAAAATCGCCTCTCTTCCAAAGCCAACCAACCATAAAGATTCCCTGAGCACCGTCCTGCCCTCCCAATTCAGACAGTTCCCACTAGAGCCTCTGCGTGTACACATGACGGAGCGAGACGGCACCTGAATGCAATATAAACACATGCACTGCCCAATTGTATCTGCGTTCCTTCTCCCGCTTGGGGCTTTTCTCTGCTCTGAAACCCCTGGTCCCCACCTCCCCAGCCTGCACATCTCATCAGAGAGGGCGTCTGAATGAGGCCCATAATCAACGCCCAGCCTTAATAGCTGGCAGTGGCAAACATAGGAGAAAAATAGCCTCAAACTGGCGTGAATTACAGGTTATTAACTGTAATTGGATATAAGCTCTCACTGGGTCTTTTCAGACTGTCCACAGGTTGGTGTGGAACAGCGATGTGTACATTTCAAAATTCCTCCTGACCACATCAAGGGATGCAAAGTCTGCCTTAAGCTCAAAAGTGCGGCCTGCTGAGCCAGACCCAGCAGCTCCTTCTGTAACATCAGGGGTTTCCAGTCTTTTAAAACAGAGCTGAACTGGTGTGTGTGTGTGTGTGTGTGTGTGTGTGTGTGTGTGAGCATTGTGGTCTGCCCCCCCCTTTAAATACCGTGGCTTTCTCTTTTCTCCCCTTTGATGCCCCCTGGTCCTTTTAGATAGCATTTGGGCTTCATTCAAAGTTCTACAGTAAGGACAGACAAATTCCGCAATCCGAGGCGTCAATCTGAATATGCTAACTTAATTGGATGGCTGTTTCTGCTTCCAAGGTTCACCTTTTCAAAGAACCTGGTAATTTGTGTGGCAACAAAAACCAGGGTGAGAAAAAGAAGAAAGGTGGTGGAGGGGACTGGCAACAGTGATCAGCGGGATCAGGAAAATTATGAACAGTAACTTTCTGGAAAAGGGACAGAGTGCTGTGTCGAAGCGTTAAAGCCTTATCACTTGCTTGCTGAAATGCAAGTCAAGCAGCTCCTTTGGTTTCTGCAATTTACATCAGACATGACCCACTAGCAATCCTCAGCAATTACAAGACTTGCAGAGTTGGTTTTAAGAAAATATAGGTGTGATTGCAATTTGTAAGCCGCACAGAACACACTGAATACAGAGAACCTTGTTCTCAGGTGCTCATACATAGGATTCCGCTGCAAGTTTCTTAGGATGTCAAATATAAGGGTCCACATTAGCACAATAGAGCTCACGGGTACTCAGAATACATGCACGCTGGTCTGGAATCCTCCTTCCCTGTAGGAGTCAGCACCACTTCTGCAAAGATAGGAGTTATGGTTGCCACCATTTTCTCCGGCAGGTCTCCTGTGCTTTTAAACAGCTAGCGATTTGGAATTTAGCAGGTGTCACAGAGATGAAATGGTGCTGTGGAAAGTCACCTGCTACACATCTTC